TACTTTGGATTTCATATACTTACCCAATGGGGTAATTTGATATGCTGATTTTGGAAACTCCAAAGTTGGCACGATATAACCGTATCAAGTAAGACGAAGGTACAGAAGGGTCAAAATCCGACTGATCACCTGATGTTACCCATGCTGTTTACGGAAAGCGAAACGAATCGTAGACATAAAATCCTACGAATTTCTGTACCCAGGTGGATGATTTTGACCTTTCCATCGTCTCTCTACCGAAATCCTACAGTCAAACGCAAAATAGATAGAATTTGTAATCATGACATCGACTAACCTCAATGGGCAACGTTTTAGGCGAATCTGCAATCTTGAACCCTCCATACTATATCTAGCAGACAGTAGGAACATGTGCGGAATAGGCACGATCTTCTTAAACAGCATGTCATACTTTCTTGTAGATAACGTTTGACCGAGCCTGAGATATTATTCCACAAATAAAAAATTAAAAACAAAATTGTCCAATGTATCATACTCATTTGATACTTTGATTGAGACATTCTAACTTGACCAGAATGGTTTGAGTGGTTAAACCGCACACTTTAGGAGTGAGAGCTACCTTTTCAATGAAGATAATGCCATAAATGATTTTCCAGGCTTTCTGAATTCAATAACAAGGCACTTTTTATGAAAACCCATTATAATTCAAGAATATTGAATTGTTCTGCCTTTGCCATACCCGCTGCTGTGCTCGTAGTACTTATGACTTCTACAAGAAAGTTTCTGGGCACTTTCTCAAACTTTCTTTATAATGTTATAACTTCTTCTGAATTCAACCTTTTTGCACCTATCAAAACTATTGCTTATGAGTAAAGTGTTCCCAGTGTTATGTAGTGGACGTATTTCGCGAAAATCTACAACGGAGGGTGAAGAAAACAGGACAATATTGACTTGAAGGGGCCTTTTCTCGCAGCTTTTTCTCTCTAAAACGAAATGCTCCGGCTGCCAATTATCTTGTTTTTTAGGACTTCCAGAGCATCTTCTACATCATGTTTTATAGAGGATGCAAGAATAACCCATTAGCATAAATTCCATTTTGCATTATCTATTGTATATCTTGACGAGGCCAACGATGAAAATTGAATGTGAACTGTAATGAGTTTATGAACTCTCATCTCGTTAGTGCAAGCTGATATGACAGAGTGCAGTTGCGGATTCTAAAGACGATACCCCTGTCTGCTTAACCTTGATATCTTGTTGGGCGTTGGGGGTTAACCACACAAAACACACTTTTTGTTCTTCTAAGGTATAGGTATTTCACTTTTTTTGGATTGTAGAACGCTTGGAGATGGAGGGTGATGGAGATGGCTAGGTAACCCCGAGTTTGTTTCACTGATGCATATACAATATATTATATCAGCAAATGATTATTCACGAATAAAGAACATTGTAGCATGTTCAGCAAAACTTCCCCAATCTGCTAAGGTTTTGTTCCTTAGATAAGAAACATTAGAAGGCTAGCACCAGTCATTAAGATCACCTAAATCTGCCACTATTTCTATGTATAACAAAATTTTTATTGGCATGTGAAAACGAAACTAATTTCTACCAACTTAATCGTTGCTTACATGCAAAGGTCCAACAATTATAAAAGTGCTATGAAATTAATTATGTTAATCATAAATTTTTTAGGATTTCAACTTCAGTGGAGAGAAAACTTGTGGTATATCTAATTTTAAATAACCGATTTTGTTCAAGTTATTTGAGATTTAAAAGTCTCTACTATGTTTCAAATTTAAACTTCAAAAAAGGTTTTTGTATTGCAGTGTTGCTGAACACGAATTTACATTGTTTAATCCTTCTGTGTTCCAATATCCTGTACCAAGTGCGGATCCGCAGTTTTCAACAAAGAAAGACTTGAAGGTAAGTATAAAACTTACTTTAAATTTTTAAAAGATTTTCTACGCTGTCAAATATGGTTTGGACCGTAAACAAATAATTTTTTAAAAATTATTTTGCATCAGAACGCCATTACTTGTGAACTAAAGGCAAAAGGCGACAGATGTCAAAAAATGCTTGCAAGATTTGGCATTTTCACTTCCTTTCCGCTTTTTTTCTGGCCTTAAGGGGAATTGGGTAGGAAGTAGTACTTCTGTGGAA